CCGCCATTGGTATACCCAACATTAAATCTAATCCTCACCTCAGCTCCGCGATACAAATATTTCCAGTTTTTCTCGCGATCTCCTCGGTGCGCATGATCGTTAGCAGCGTTACCGCCTTTCTATAGGATTCACTCATTGTCGACACACAGTTTTACAGCTTGATAAGTTTAAAAGAAGTTTAAAACTTTTAAGAAAAAACGCCGAATTAACCTGAGCTTCGCTACCGGTACCAATTGGGTTTCGTTTCAAATCTATTTCTTTGGTTTTCTTCTTAAATAATCCTAACCTTAATCCTCTGTCTTTTTCGATGAATTCTCTCAGTTTTAGAGAATGTTGTTTTGTGTCCCGAGGCCCTTGTTATTTCTGGAGACTTCAACCTTCATTTAGATGACCTCCGTGACAATGACACCAAGAAATTTATGGATTTACTGGAAACGTTCAGTCTTTCGCAACACGTTTCGGGCCCGACCCATTTATCGGGTCATACCTTAGATTTAATTATTACTCGTTCCTCAGATGAAATTGTTCTTGCTTCCCCTAAAACTACTTTTCCCATCTCCGATCATTTAATTATTCAGTGTCCTATTGGTTTCTCACGACCAGCTTTGTCATGCAAAAACTGACAAGAATATTGATTTGCTGCGTTCTCAGCTGATATTGCCTCTTCTATGCTTTGTGCAAGCGTACACTGGGACAACATTGATGCACTCTCCGACTGCTTTAACAAGACCCTTACTGACATACTGGATAAGTTTGGCCCGCTGAAAACAAGGACTATGATTAATCGTCCAAAGGTCCCATGGTTTAATGATGACATTAAACAACTCAAGCGTCAACGTCATCGTCTTGAAAGGAGAGCCGTGAAAACTGACCTCCCCGGTGACTGGAATAATTACCATAAAGTTCGTAATCAGTGCTCTGCATTTCTTAAATCTGCACGTGTGAATTATTATTCAAACCTAATTGATCAGTGTGCGGGTGACTCTCGCAAGTTACTTCGTGTGGTTAATTCTTTGTGTAGGGAATCACTTGAGACGGCTCTTCCAGAGCACACTGATCCCACAAAGCTAGCAAACGAATTTGGCACCTTCTTCCTGAAAAAAATTGAAATCATAATGGAAAATCTTGACAAGTTTCAAGTTCAAGAACCTCGACTCATTCCTAGTACTCCTATGGAGAATCTGGAGAGTTTTTCCGCGCTATCCATCGAAGAAGTGTCCAAGATTGTTCGAGAATCCTCCAATGCCTCTTGTCGGCTGGATCCTGTTCCTACATGGCTATCGAAGTCCTGTCTTGATTTATTAGCGCCCCCTATTGCTGAGATGGTAAATCTCTCTCTTCTCAATGGTCACGTTCCAGAAAATTGGAGAACCGCCGTTGTCTTTCCTTTACTGAAAAAACCGGGACTTGATTTGGTCTATAAAAATTTCTGTCCAGTCAGTAATCTTCCATTCATTTCCAAGAGAGTATATGTCGCTGAAGGAATACCGCTAAGAATCCTAAGAAAGATCCCCGTTTACATTACAGTTTGATAATGCAAAAAGCAGGATGGCCGTATCATGTGGTGACGGACAAAGGAAGCCAATGTTTAGTTTAACGATAGTTTAGAGTGTTGGGATATCTCTCTTGTTTTGGGGTGGGTGGTTCTTACACAATGGAAGTGACTATTAATAGTAAAAAAGAAAGTTATGATCAAGTTGGTGAATTTTCAGCTGGGAAAAAGATTGGTAAGACCTTTGCTAAGCATGAGTAGGAATTAGGATTTTATTTATAATTGTGCATGGGGAAACGTCTAGTACCATAAATAAATCTGCCAAGATACATTCTAGTTGATCACTTAATAATTTTGATACTTTTGTTTCTCATTAAGTCACTACATAACTTTACCTGGCCTTGACTTGCCTCGCCTTGAATGCTCCTGCCCTATATGTGATATGTCTTCTACTCTGACTTTCTTGAGTTCGCGGCTGACGGGTGCTAGAGATATCTTAATTAATTATAACTTCCATACGACAAAAGCCTGAAAGATCGATTCTAGATTGAAAGGTGTGTTTTCACATGCCCTTCTCCCCGTCCAAGGAAACAAATTATCATATCATCATGACCACATAATCATGCTTGTTTTACTCTCGGTACCTAATGCTCATCAAAGCCGTATGCGCACATGCTCATCTGTAAAATCACACTCAAAACTAACCTATTGGTCCAGTGGCTGAAGACTATCAGAATACAACTTCAGGTAGTTGCTCTGATCAAACCACGCTAAATGGGACTTGATTTTTATGTCTACTGCGCTTTGGCAAGTTGTCACTAGGCTATGCTGAAAACGTCTTTGTCCAAGGTTTATGTGAGTACGTTGCGTTGTCGATAGCTAATCGCCGATCGATAGTCTTTCACGATGCCAAAACAAATATCGGCCACTTTTCGTTATTATTTTTCTTATTAATAAAAAACCCCAAAAATTGAAAAAACAACAACAGAAAAAACCAAACAACAACAACAACCAAAACCAAAATAAAAACAAAAGCAAGAAATTAAAAAAAAAGTCATTTTGTTTGGAGCTTTAACGTAAAAGTTATGTAAGAAATGGACGTCACTTTCTATCGATTTACCTCCTTTAGAGCCCCTACCAAATTCCTGCGTGGTACGCTGATAAACCGATAGAAAATGTGATCTATTGAGTTTGACCAGTCAGGGCGCTCGCAGTGTCTCAGCAATTTTTTTCCACAAACACCGTGAATACATAATAGTATGACTAGTTTTAGCTCGAACGTCAAATAGTGACTAGCGAGATCAAGGAAATTTTTCACGCGAGTTATGTCACGTTACTCTAATAATTTTCCGAGCCTTATTTAGATCGTAGGTAAGACGTAGATCTTGGTCGAAGCGCGTAAGAGAGAACCATGTAATTATCTATTAATAACATGGATGTCAAATCACATTAATAGTCGTTAGGTTTTTAATTGTTAATTATCGAGAAATCCTTGTGCTCCAGGCACTGAGAGGAATAGGCAGGTGTTTTCAAGATGTTCGTGACATTTTTAGAACTTAACGATGAAGAGTCCTTTACAACGCTGCTTGCTTTCGTATGTCTCGAATTTGAACCAATTGTCAAATATCGTTGACTTTAATGGCCATATTGGTGGAAATGCCGCCCCTTAGGAATGAGATCCACAGCCGCACAAGGCCATTAGCGTATATTTCAACGAGTATATCTCAGCCAACCCGACACTTTACACTCGTGGCGCCACAAATAAACAGTTATTAGCAGTTACGGCTGCTCGACCCCATGCTGTGACTGCCTCATGACCTGCCCTCAAGGATTTGGAGGTAGGTCGATATGGCAGTGTTGACCCAACCTTAAGTTTGTCCTGCTATCAGTTAAAATTTTCTAAGAGGTAGGTTGATTTAATTTCCACTTTAATTTTTCTCACGAGATTTTAGGAACAAAGCCACTGCTTAGTTTCTTTGTGTTAGACAGGCTCACCGCTTAAAAAACAGGCAGTCGGTGACTGCATGTAGCTTACTGCACCTGTTATTTCTTAGAATACCGTATTTAACCGCCCTGAAACGACACTCGAAATTACTCACAACTTAAGACATAGTGCAACCAAAAATGCAAGCTCCGCGATGAACGAAACAAATATATTATTAGTATAAATATAATATGCTAACCCTTAACCGCCCCTACCTCCCTTACTAAGCAGAATTTTGTCCCCAAACTTCCTCTATGCTTAGGAGATCAACAAACCAATCAGAATCCTTCGTTTGCAAAAATATTTTGGCGCCTTTAGTGGGTACTAGAGGGGCATCATTCTATGCGTTAATGATCGAATATTTGAAAATATAGCGCCCCCGCGGCCGACTCTCAATTTAAGTCGGATTTTTCGTTCCTTTGCGATCGAGTTAGAACGTGTGGGACTCAGAATATAAAGTAGCAATGCAATAGAATACTCTGTTTGGAAAATAATTGGACGCCAAGGTCTTAAAGGTGACAGAATAAACTCTCGAGTCAACGACACTACGATTCTCCAAAGCGATGCGAATTTTGTGGCTGTAAACCGAAAACCGAACTTTCGGACTTCAAGCAGGACCTAGCGACAAGTTGATGACTCCATTACCCGGTAAATATTACGTTTGACTAACAATGTGGTCAAAACGTATTGTTTAGTAGAAGATTTTGCGTCAAATCGTAGTACTTTCAGAATTTTCATCATAACGCTACGCAATTTCTTGCCGTGAAGTCAACTAAACAACGATCTAAGTATGATGAGTTTTACGGCGTGGACTTTGTGCACGTAAGAAATTCGTACGTTTTTCGCTTATAACATCAAATCAAGAATTGCTTTGAATAAAACTGTCGTCCCAAAATATCTTTTGGTCATTTTCCTCTTGCTTCCCGTTAATAGATACCTTGAAACTTGAGATTTCCTCACACACGGACAAATTTGCATAATTCACTTTGAAATTTGATCCGCATGCCTATTTGCACACATGCGAAAATATTTAGCGATTTTTTTAATCTTTTATCTCGATTTTTGAGTAAATCACGGAACAAATAATCGCAGCAATGCGACAGATAAACTGCTTTGGGGTGGGAAAATATTCCCTTGGCGGAGCAGATAATAGCAGCAATGCGACACAAAACCTGCAGGAGACAAAAAACTGCGATCACGACCGCCGACACGAGATACGAAAATCGAACGATATCGGAGAGCGAACTGAATTCCGAGCATTATCCGCAGGTTTCTATTGTTATGGACATACTGAAGGACTTGCACTCTGGATAGCATAGTATCTACGACGTCACAGAAGTCCGTAGATACAAAAGGAGTTAAGATCGGGGAATATCGGATAAAAATCGGCAGAGTTCGTTGTGGGGTAGGATTATATTGTTACACTCGCTCACTCAGAAGGACAGCGTAGTAGGTTACGCCTCTTTAGGCAGTAAGCTACAAAAGTTATTCGAAGTGGCATGCTAAATCATTTCCTGTCATAGGCAAGTTTTCCACATTACTGTATTTTTTGACTTTACTTTTCACCACTTTGTTTTGGTCTTTACCTTAGTTTAAAACGTTTCTTAAACTACCTTCACTACGCTACAACCAATTTTAAACCTTTATCAACGTTTGATTTAAAAAAGATCTCTTAAATAGGCTTTAAGGACACTACATGCACATCTCATTCACTAGTAATCTGTATAGTACAACAAAGTTACAAGACTGACTGAAAACGCTACTAGGTTCTTGAGTATTTCAAGCGGACCTAACGTACAAGCGACCTTAACTACCTGGATTAAAGCGCTTCCTCCTACAAATTTTTAGTAAAGATGGACAGGACAACTGTAATCTAAGAGCTAAAACACGTTGACTTCCAACTGTAAATTGGCCACCATAAAGAGTTTAAAACCTGACTTTTCGAGCGTTAGCCCTTTGTTAATCGCTCTGACGAAGGGCTATCGCTAGGAACGTCAGCTTTTAAACTAATTTACGTTTCCAACTCGGTTCATGATACTACATTATTCTGTTATACTCTCCCTCCGACGCAGCACCACAGTTTCTTTGGAAACTTACTCTCTTTATTAATTTAACTTCCAATTGCCAGGAGTTTCAGATCAATGTCAGTCTCACAAAAATTATCATGGACATACATTATGAGAAATCTGCCGAGTGAACATGGCAAAATTGATCGAAGGTGAGAGTCGCTATAATTCGGCCTTGAATAACAGAAACCGCTGTCTTCCCATACGAGTCGCAAATGTTAGCGGCAACTGATGAGTAAGGCAAAAAAAAATTATTGCACCTTGAGCTGACGATATTTAGATGCAAGATCAACTTCTCAAAACGAGAGTGAGGATGATCTGTGTTCATATTGAGGGTTATCTAGCTCATACTTTATACATCCAGTAACTAAATCTTATGGTCACCATTGCGAGACAGTAAAACATTGGGTCTAGGTTTTATAGCATTCGTACAGTAGAAACTATTTACACATTTTACTCAAACTTAATATAATTGTAGACTTCTTCACAAAACTTTTATCTCCTTACATCCTTTGGTCTTGAAGAAAGCCTCCACAACATTTATTTTATCAACTGAAGGGATGATAATCATGAATAAGATTTACACTCAGTCTGCTTAATGACCTGTTGAATGCCTTTTCCTGAAAGGATTGGACATAGTGAAAGACCTGTTGGACCCCTTCTTTCTGTCCAAGGTTCCTAAAGTAATTTACAAAAAACATTCATAAGCAACTTCCAGGAGCAGGAATTCACTTCAACTACTCAGATTTCAGGCCCATCATTGTTTTTCCACATTTGCTGACCAGAATTGGAAAAATAATAGCGTGGTAATTAACATGCTAAGTACAAACTCTGGCCTAGTCATTGCAGACAAGATACTTCAATCTCACAGTACTTCTCTCCACCCTTAAAGATTCAAGGGTAGCAGAGAGTTGTCAAAGAGTTTCTGACAAATTCTGGGAGAGGGGAATGAGAGGGATGGACCAGCATCGTATTCAGATGGAGTTCATATACAACCTCCTTCCCATTCTCTGTACAATGTGTGAAACAAAAACCAGGGATGAGTGACATTGTAGATGATTCACCCTGCTCCAGGACTTTGTCCAACACATATTTGGGTTTTATATGTATCATCCAAACCACACATACTACAATAACACTTCTCACTGCTGTCAGAAATATGCTGAATTTAAGAAGCAAGAAGAAAACAGACACACAAACCTTCAAGAGTTGAGAGACTGAGACGGTCCACTCTACATCTCACTTTACCTGTTGAGTGATCAGAAAACAGCTTAAATTGATCAAGTGTAATCATCAGATGGATCATCAGTCAATGATTAACTAAGTGCCATTGATGACCCAGCAGATATGAAACTCCTCTTAGCCTTTCCAAGGACTCCTTAACTCATCATAAAATACATAAATCATTGTTCTGGTTTTTTTTTCTCCACATATGATTTAAACTGTAAAGAAAATGGATAGTATTTTTCATGGTTAACAGGAGCACTAGTTAAAAGCAGGGGGCACCATTGACAAAATCCTTTTTAACAGCACAAATATTCCCAAAACCAGCCCAGTACAGTCCAATGCAGATGCTTTTACTTCCTCCCAATGGCATTTCCTTTAAGATTTTAAAGTTGATACATGTACAACATGTAACTTCAAAATATTCTTAAACATAACTCACCCAGTGTTCCATGTGGTCTGCAAATTGAAAAAAAAAGAAAACAATGATTGTGTTGGTTAACGATACTGTAAGAAGTTGAACAACTAAGCTCTTTCTAAGACAGATCAAAATAGCCCTTTAACTGAAAACAATTGGTTAATGGGTCACAACACATGTGCAACATCTCACAAAGTTTAAGATGTAAAAGCAGGAACTGTCTAAATCACTATTTCACTCTGACTGAGTCTACAAAGAACCAGTCTGTGGATGGGCCCTCACTAAATTTCTACATTATTTATAACTTATTTGTTATCAAATTGTATGTGGCTTACCCAGATTCATCACAAAGAACACATGACTCTACCATGGCATCCATCATTTCAGCCTACGAATTAAATCATGAAAAAAAAATTAAAATCTTAGACTACTGTTAATAAGACTATCGACACAAACTGGTCAGTCTTGCAAGCCATGTTCCAATGCAACACCCATTTCCTACCAGCACATTTTCCCCTCCAGAAATAAAATTTTTTTCTTAGTCTACCCCATGAAGATGTGGATCTTCCAGTACATCTTAATCAGCCCTTCACAAGGAAAATTACAGTTCTAAATGTAAAGAGTTTCATGTTTTCAGTTCAATTGAAAATGCTGTCCATCAGCACCTGTTTGGAGAAAATCTGTAACCTTTGCACTGCTTCTGGATCACTGCTTCTATCAGGGGCATCAAACTCCAACCAAAAGGTATCCAAACACCCAGGCTCATGTGCAGGGGCAGGTGTGTAGTCCCAAGATAATTCCTCAAATGCTAAGCTCAGAAGTATATCCTGTGAAATACACAGGAAGCTGTCAATTGTTGAAATCTCATGAAAAATACACACTTCCAGTAACCTCTACATATCAAGTTGTTAAAGGAGCAGTGTGGATGGTGGCAACAGTTGCTTTGGTCTGCTTTTGTGTGATTTATTTAAATTTATAAATAGTTATCTAAATTGTGGAATAGGCTGTAACTGGATTAAAATTTTAAAATAAGATCATAATTATGCCTACAGCATAACTGATAATAATGAACACAAAAAATATTCAGTGTTTAAAAATAAAAGCTAAACAAATATCTTGCTACAGAAAAGACAGTTCACTTTAATTAGTTATTAGTAATTACATGCTTACATTTTTATTGTCATCAATCACATGGACACCTTCCCTGTTGATGGCAACTCTAACAGGTAGGTCAGAATTCCCTAGAATGTTTGACAGCAGGGAGGATGTGGGTCGCTCGATTTGGCCCCGGAAAAAAACACTCCTGAAAGAATCAATTATATACATTGACCAATTAACATTAAAAAAAAGTTTCAGTGCAGAAAATAATTTACCAGATGAAGGGCAGATTTAAAGTTGGCAGTCCAAGTTGAGACTGTTTCTGTTGCCAAATTGAATATGTAAAATATTTTGGCCACTAAATTTGTAGCTCAGGTTGAAAATTTGGGAACTGGTGTATGTCTATCATGTAGTATGCTGTAAAATTATTTTCTCACAGTCTTTGTGCTCTGATTTTAAGTGATACAAATCATTGCATGAAATATTTTTAATGCTCTGTTGTTTTCTTTCCCAAAATTTGCCTCTTTTTCTGTGATTGTGCAGGTCTTAAGAGGTTGAGTAAAACTCACAAAAAAAAATTTCCATCCAGGTTTTCTTTTCTTTGTCTTTTTATGACAACTGACCTATTATTTCTGTCACTACTTAACAATTAAGGCAACCCTGATAATTTGCCAACTCTGAATTATAACTAATGACACAACAAAACATACCCATAAAACGAAAAATTCCAGCAGTACTCCAAGAACATTTTATGGCAAGCTTTGACATCACTAACTTGCTGAGAGACATTTTCATATTCCTGCAGGAGTTTGTGTTCAATAGCAGAATTTGGTGATCGACCAAGGAATGGCCAATTGGATTTACAGACCCATGCTGGTAAATAATCTGTCAGCTTGTTCCTGCAACAGAAAATATTTTTAAGACCACCATAAAGTAGAAACCTATGTTTACATTTAGTAATGACAAATTGTAGTGAACTTAACAGTTCATAAAACTAAAATTTTCAGTCTTCAGTCATACATACATACATACATATACTGTAACCGTCATCACAATTGTTTGTTACGATCAAAGATTATTGAACCTTTTAACTAAATTTCTCAAGGTAAAAACAGTCAGGACTCAAAAAGTAACTAAATGTAGGAAAGTTTAATAGCCAGCCTCAATCTCATACATTTACATAGTACAAGCCAAATGGTCACTTTTCTACAAAAGCATTGTAATAGCCACATCAAGTCAAATCTTCAAACAAAATGTTACCAATTTTTCTTGACAGATGTCCTCCTTCTCTCTACACATTATGTTGGTGATGCAAAAATCACACCAAAAGAAGAAATTGGACATTGAGAAGGGAGTAGAGTGTTTCAAGAAATTTTGATGAGGACTACATGTGGAGTGGATGTTAAATGAATCATTTTGAGTACACATGTCTGCACATGTGATTAGTGAGAATGATCTAAATAAATCTTACTTGAAACAGCCAGGAGCATGTTCTTCTTTATCATATTTGCCATTGTCTATATAAGCAAGAATTCCTCCCAATGTGAGAGCATCTTTGGAGCTGATAGGATAATTGCCACAAAGAACATTGTGTTTGGCCTAAATTAAAACCAAAGAGAATGATTGAATAGACAGTAAGAACAATAGTATGTGGGTTTCACCTTGATTCTGTGCATGCACTAAATCAAAACAGGTCCTCCACAACAGTACAACAACAAAGTTACATGGGCTTATTTTGTTTGGCACCTAAATAAATTACACACATCCCTTGTGTATGTAAAAGATGTAAACATGTACTTTATTCACAATGCACTTTGATATGTGACTGAAAACTGTAATAGACATGTGAGTTATGAAAATAAAAAAGAATGAATATCTTAATCACCTCTTCAAATAACCTTCTAACAACTCTATCATCTTTAATCTGTAACAAAAAGAAACTTTCAAAATAAAGCTCCACTGAATGTAAACTGTAAATCATCATATCAATTACTTGTAACTGCTATGTATACTTCTTGTTCATAAATCCATAAATTCAATTTTTTCACCTGATACAATTAAAAGATAGCCAAAAAGAACTTTTAAATTAGTAAGAACAACATGCCCTGGTAGAAACTTTATAGAAGCAAACATGCAAAATCTAAATGCACAATATAACAGGATTAGTAGCATGGTGAACCCCATTTTAAGTCCAAGCTTAAGCTGCTTATCATTTTCAAATGCTTCATTAACAGTCTCTGTGACACTTACTCTCCGTTCCTCTGCTAGAGGAAAAAAAGAACTCCTCTGATAACACAGGATTGGTTCATCTGAAGAAAAAATACAAATAATTGCATTGTAAAAACCCAGAAATTTAGGCCTGAGAAAATTATTTCAATTGTAATAATAATAATGTAATAATAATAATATTAATAATAAAAACAATGATAATAATGTATATTTGTACCTTTCTCGCAAACTTCATCAGGTGTGTTTGTAAACTTCCTGAGTAATTCTGGCCATACCTGACGTAGCCGGAATGGCCTGTGATGAGATTTTAACTGAAGCTCTAGGAATTGAAAATTTTAAGTTTGAGTATAACACATCCATGCTAAGAATTGTAAGAAGCAAAAAACATTTCCACAGAATTTGTCACTCATAATCATACAGTATTATGCCATGAACTTCATAAAAGGGACATACATTAAACATGTAGCTATGCACATGGACCTGCTCAGTAGTAAAATAATAGTACAGCACATATAAAATAAATAATTTTTTTCTTTGTTGGGAAGAGAACATTGCTAATAAATTATTTGCAAAAGGTAACTATGCTCAAGATTACTCTCAGATAATTGTAATAGCAGTTTCATTTCTTCCAATTCTAACTCTATATTTTATTTCTTTCTTTCTTTGAAAGATTAAAAAAATCACTCAGAATCTAAATTACAAAGCCAAAGGCTATTGATCTGCAAACTTATTGAGCAATCGGTCGCTAGGATACTAAGTGGTGTCCAGTATCTCTCAGCAATTCTAGCGCCTCATTGCGCATGTGTCAATTAAAACTGGAATTCTTAATGAATTATACACTTTGTCCATGTTGAAGTCGTAATGTTTACCACCATTCCTAGCACTAGTGTAATAAAAATCAATAATAAGATGAAAAAGTTTAAGCTCTCCAAAAATATCGCCAAAATAGATGATAGGTTCTTTAACAGCTGGGGTAATGCCACATACTGTATGTGTTTCACTGTCATCTTAATGTTTACCAGCCAGGTAAAACAAGACAAATTTCTTGATTCATACACAGCATCTCTCTAGTTATCACAAAGGGAAGAATTGATACAAAGTATAATACTACCACTACTACTACTACTAATAATAATGATTTCTAAAGCACCATAACTAAATATTCAAGACCTGGGGTCCCCCATTTCCATGTAAACAGGCCCTTAGAAGATCTTAAGCTTCTTGATGGTTTTTAGGGTTGCAACATTTCTGTTAAATAGGAAGGTGCTAACCTATGCAAGGCTTTAAAAGTTAAACAGAATTATCTGTATTTGATACGGCACAGGAAGCCATAGTTGGATGGCCTCAATGGGTGGGCATGGGTGATGGCTGGCACTCAGCATATGTAGCTTGGTTTTTCCAGTGTTTAGCTTCAGTTTGTTTTAGACCAACCAGGAATCAACTGACTCACACATGCTTCTATACCTGCTAAAGATGACTGTTGCTCAGCTGTAGTGGGCCTAAAAGCAAAGTAAAGTTGGGTGTTGTTGGCATACAGGTGAAACTTGAGAACATGATGTCTCACAATATTGCCCAAGGGGAAATGTACAATGAGTACAGGATTGGCCCAAGGACCAATCCTTGTGGAACACCAAATTGAAGGTCTTTGACATCAGATTTTACACCATCAATCATCACAAACTGTTTTCTGTTGTGAAGGTAGGATTTAAACCATTTCAAGACCTGTCCTCTCAAACCAAAGTGATTGCACATTCTATCCAGGGGAAGTCTGTAACCAACAGTGTCAAATGCTCTGTACATGTCCCACAGAAGGAGTGCAGCACCCTTGTTATCATCAATTGCACAAAGGATATCATTCTGTACTTTCACTAAAGCTGTCTCAGTGCCGTGTAGGTGTTTGTATGCTGACTGGAGTGATTCATCTAGATTGTTATCACTAATATAGTTCTTCACTTGAAGTGCAATGGCCCACTCGGTGATCTTGCTCACAAACTTCAAATTAAAAATGGGATGGAAATTCAAATACTCCTGGAGGTCAAGTGACTCCTTCTTGAGTTTAGGTCTAACCATAGCTTCTTTCAGCTGCCCAGGCATACACACAGACTGGAGTGACAGATTGACGATGCTAGTCAGCGTCGGTAAGAGAGTCGACTAACAGCCTTTCAAGATACATGCTGGTACTGGGTCAAGATCACAAGACTTAAGGCCTGTCACCTCAAGGAGATGCTCAGCTACCTTTACAGACACTCTTTGGAAGACTGCAAGCTCGCATGATGACTGATTTTCTACCAGACAGATTTGATTATTGGGTAATGATGACTCACTAGATAACATGTCTTAGATAGTGACCATCTTATTATGAAAGAATTCAGCAAAATTGTTAGCCAGCTTCACAGTTGAGGATGCTGTGGGATAACGTTTCTCAGGTCTCCAGTGTAATAGCTTGTCAACTGCATTGAAAAGTATCTTCTGATTGGATGTATTATTGAAGATGATGGAGGAATAGTAGGAGGATTTTGCACATTTAAGCATATTGTTGACAAGCTTGCACTGTTCAGTATAAATTTGCCAGTTAATACACAACCAAGATGATTGCCAGCATCCCTCTAGTCTTCTGTGTTTCTTCTTCTCTTCACGGATTTCATCTGTGTACCAGGGTGCTGAAGGGCAAAGTGTGATTATGTGTTGTTTCATTGGTGCATGTTCGTCCAATATATTCTGTAAGGTGTTTTCTTATTCGTCTAATAGAGATGGTAACTCATCATGGCCATATGACAGGAGTGTAGACTTTTTTAGGTCATTGTTGAAACTATCCATATCAATAGAGCATATTTTTTATACTGGATAGAAGCTTGTACAGGAGGAGTTTTCTGTAGGCCAAGCTTACAATGAACTGCTAGATGGTCAGATAGCATAGGGTCTCTAACTTCAATACTAGTAACTAGATAATCATCAGCCCTGGTTATCAATAAGTCAAGGATGTGCCCCTTCTTTTGAGTGTGGCCTCAGACATGTCATTTAAGTTTGAATAATTCCAAAATGCTGGTGAATTCTATTGCAGCGGTGTACCCAGGGTTATCTATGTGAAAATTAAAATCACTAACAATCAATAGGTTACCAGGGGCAATGGTGAGCTGTTCAGCCAGAGTTGAAAACTCTTCAAAGAATAAAGTACTGCTCAGTCGGTTTGCGTTAGATGGTGGGGGCCTACAGATAGTAACTATCCTCATACATCCACCAGAGCATTTGGAAATATCAATGTCCTCAAACAACTCAAACTTAAATTGAGATTGTTTTTTAACTTGAAAGTGCTTTTTCATAAGAAGACCAACTCCACCAGCTCATGAGCCTTTCCTCTAAGCTATATCTCAGTCATTGCAAGTATATCAAGATCACTATTGACAACATAGTCCTTAATACTCAGTACTTTGTTATTGGTAGATCTGGTATTCAATAGGTAGAAATCAATCAGAACAAAGCCACCAGTGTGTTTTGAACTCTTCCATGCATTTGACATAAGAGAGGTTTTGTACATTTATACCCTTTGTATTTGATCCAAGAGTTATACCATAGGCATTACATGAAACAATGGAAGGCCTTGTTGTACAACTGCAGTGAGTTCACGCAAAGATAATAACTGGAATTTTTACATCCACTGATGGGCTGGGATTGAGCTTGAATGTTAGATCACCAATTAGTTCCACATTGAAAGCTGCAACAATGTTTGGGTAATAAATACAAGGACTTTTGTGCCACTTGATCTTGTGGTGCCTTGAGATAGCCCCATGCATAGAGACATCAGCCGTGAAATAGTGATTCACGTCAATGGATAACACATTCAATTTAGACAATGTATAATCAACCTCATTGTTATTTGAAATTCCACGGCTTGATTGATTCTAGGCTTGAGTCAGCAATGGAGTAGAAAAAACCCTTCGCAAAAACCAGTGCTCTTCTCCAAATGTGAATTTCTCCAGCCAAACTGAAGATGATAACTCTGCAAATTTACTCTTCTTGAAAAGCATTTGTTTGGTCCATAATAGAGGGAGCCAGAAAAATAAAAATTCAGGAGAGAGAATGCCTGCATCCAAACCTCATCATTATCACCTAATCATATCACCTAATCATATCACCTAGTCATATCGCCTAATCACATCACCTAATCATATCACCTAATCATATCACCTAATTATACTAAATGGACAGAGTGATGATTTACTTACGTAAAAGAGGAGATATAAGCCACACACAAAACACCTGAGAGGCAATAGGGGGAAGAGAAAGATTTTCTGACATGATGGTATTAATTGTCCCTGCCTCAGTGTTTCTTCCCTCCTCCAGGTTCAACAGACGGCCTGACTTCTCCACTAGAAACACAGCTACAGTTAAGGCTGAAAGAAAAGCAAATTTTACTATTTAAGGTATCAACTTTATCCAAAGTTTATCCAATGGTGTGACTTTTGTCCTCCTGTGAAGATCTTCTTCAGTAACTTATATGCGTCCAAATCCAAAATGGCAAACTGGATTTAATAAAATTTTCCCTGCTTCAATCAAGATGTTGCAAGTCATTATACAGCATTACATGTACACACTACATCCTGTAACTGAATGCATTGATTTGAAAAAGCCCTATGACTTACCTTGCGGAGACAATGACCGGGTGTAATCAGATCGGTTTCCCCATGAAATAGATTTCTTAATACCAAGAGGTCTTCTAATAGCAGCACTTTCTTCTGAATGCAGTCTTTGAAAATCTGGATTCTTGGCTGTAACATTTTCTCTCTTAATATGGGAAAGTTCTAAAGACCCTGTTGCCATTGCTGTCTGAAACAAAAGGGTTCATAAAAGAAGTCACACATTTGTATCTACATGTACAAATAAGGGGAATTTAGTATATGTAAATACTTTCCAAAAGAAAGAGATATTGGACCTTCATCTCCTCCACCATACCTAATCCTCAGCCACATTTACTTGGAAAAGATTGGAAGTACTCTTTTAAGAAACTTTGCATTTTTATTGATTTAGGATTTAAATAAAAAATATATCTTTATATATATATATATATATATATATATATATATATATATATATATATATATATATATATATAGATATACACACATGTGTGTTACCAAGCTTACTCAAGGTTGATTATCAATAAATAAATCACTTTACTTTGGTCGATGTAAATTTCTATTCATTGAAGAGAATCACAGTGTCACTTGCCAACTAGGTATTCTGGATAAAGAAATCTAACTGTGCAGTCATGCCTTAATTTTTTAAAGATATTTTTCAAAACAAGAGCATGCTACTGCTGTAATTCACACTAAACACTGATTTGCACTTCTGCTCTCAAAAAAATTAGTCCAAATTGATTAGTGAGTTGCTTAGCAAATATTCTAAAAAACACAGATTTCTTAAAATGTATTTCTTAAGGTGTTTTTTGACCACAAGATTCTCCTACAAAATGCAGTCTTATAAATGCATCTCTTAACAGCCTCTTGATTTGCTCTAATCAAGGGCTAAACCTCAAAACATCAGCTTTAAAAACTCCTTATGGTGGCCAATTTACGTTATCAACTCAGTTGATAAAACAAAATTATCTTGGTATTCCCCCCACAGACATGGCACCATAAATTCTTTAGAAACTTACCCCCTTTCTTTAAATTAAACTATCTCAAAAGGAATCAAACCCCCTACTTTGTGACATGCCACAAAGCTGATATTGAAGATCAAAACACAATGTAATATTGATCTCACATTGATCTAGTGAAGAGAAATGTCAGGACATTGCTGATTTTTTGTATGCTGTAACTCATGGCAGCTACTATTCACTTCTGTAGCTCTTCCTTTCATTTAGTCCATTACAAATACATTTAAATCAAATTGCAACTTGAGAATTTGAAAGAGAGAATTATTTCCTGAAAGACTGGCATAAAATGAGAAAAATTCAATGGAGTTTCTAAACTTAAATTTGCTTTTCCATATCTGAAAATTTATACTCAAACATGGTCTGGATTTAAATTGAATAACAGAAAACTTTGAAAACAAACTAATTTACTTTTTTCCAGTGCATTTCAATTAAATAATAATCAAACACATCACCTGGTTTAAAATTCCCTTCATTGCACAAGACAAACTTTACTTAGTGAAGAATTAAAAAGGAAAAAATGGGACATAATTTACAACTGACTGGCTTATTGCGCGTGAAGGCTATTTATTCAGCAAATTGATCCTGAATGTCACATGTAAAACACAAGATGTAAAAGCACTCTTGACAAGGGATTTAAAGATAATACTGACACTACAGTCTCATCTACACTGCTGAAATTTAAACTTTCGTGATAGAAATCATAATGGTAATGGAATAAAGGTGTAGTCAATTTCCTAGGCTTTCAACACAGCTCCCAAGACAATCAACTGACAAATAAAATAGAATGGTTCCAAAAATGTTTAAATCTAGGCCTCTAAAAACCATTCAAGAGAAAAGGCAGTCAAGGCTTAAAATAAACGGGATTTCCTTCAACCTACTCACAAAAAGCAAGTAAATTGTTCTCCTAAAACACGACAGTTGCACACAACTTACTTGCGAGTTACCTTGAGACTGACACTAAAATTTTCACAAGCCTGCCATCTCTTTCGCAATTATATACAATCGCCAAAGGCTCATTCTCGGAATAACACGTACGGATACGTGAAAATATTGTGCAGACATCAAAATATCTCAAAAGGTTGGGCAACTTAACATTTACTGAGTTCAATATCTACCAAAAGAGAGTTTTAGTTCGCACCGAAAACAATTTACAAAATATTGGGCCTCCTTCAAGATGGAAGCTTCAAATAAAGTTTAGTGTGTCGGAAACCGAAATGGGGCCCAAATTTTGGTTTTCCTGGATTTCTCCAAGCTCGAAAGAAAAAAGACATTTTGAATGTATTCGTATATTTCGACGTTTACGTATGTGTAGTGAACGTAATCGAAGTACTCTGTACAAGTTAGCGTAGACGACTCCAAAAATGAGTGGTGAACCAAAAGATATTTCCACTCATTCCAACCCATTTAGCGGGCATCTGTTTCCTGAACAAACCCTTTGGATTCTGACTTTTGGTAGCTGGTTCTAGATACCCACATATCAGGAAGTGCGCTTCACTTCACGATTTGATTTTTAGATCGAGAAACGTACAATGATGACAATTCTTGCTACTCCCTTTCTTCTAATCACTTCACTAACATATCACATGTTAAGCACAAAACTCACCTTTGCCAAAATTCGAACAAGAAATGGGGAGGATTCTGCGAAACGCGTACGTATAAAATCAGACAATTAATCACCTAGATGTCTCACAGCTTGTGTTTTCCTTTTCCTTTGCACAGCCAAACGGATATCAAAGGAGTTGACCACAAGGTCAACACTTTCCACTACTCTGACGAAAATGGCTTTTACCACTCGTACACTGTATCAGCTCAACAATTCATTCGGCGGAAAAAGGAAACACAACCTCGGTATACAACCTATTATAAGAAAATTTTAAAAAATTGCTATGCGCCGATCACGTCCTCTCTCCTCCAGTAAACTTCCCTATCTGCTTCCTACAAACCCATGATGCCGCTGGACTTACCTACCTCCTCCCATCCCTACCCCGGAGGAACTTTTTGTTCACGCGACTAATATTATTACAGCAATCTTGGATATTTTCGGCACTTTCGCATCACGGAACGGGAAAGTTTACTCCCAAATGTCAATGATCGTGTCCACGGGTCAACTACGTGGGAAGTTCAACGTTTGCAAAGCTGAATAGAAGTTGTGTTATTAATTCGAGTACTCGTAAATATGTCGGGTAAACTTAAGCTGGCTGAATGTTTTTCCAGTTAAAAATAGTTATGACAGAAAAAAAAGTTTGATGTTGATTGTAAACAACAAATAGAAAAATTTTCATTTACTCGGCTTGCTAGTTCAAAATCGAAAATGTTGTGTTACGGTCTTGACCTAGGTATGAGACTTTATTAATGAGAGAACGCTGTATTTACTTATCCGTGACATCCTACCCAAATAGGGTCACAAAGAAGGAATTAGAAATACAAAAAATTTGAAAAAAAATTAGTTTCTTTAGTCCACAACTTCTTTCGTTTCACCACTGACGTCTGTTCGTATGACGTCAAAACCGTGAGAGGCGATAAACACCTATGACGCAATTAAGTTAAGTTCGTGACTGAATCTACCTTGAATGTACCCAATATATTTCAAGTGTGCCAGTCTCAAAGAGGCTTTCCCATACTAATGGACCGGCCAGATTTCCCATGGTTGTATTCGATAACGGAGCTTTAATATTTGGGAAAACCTTACCTCGAAAGGAATTTTTATCTCTCCGAAATAACAATCTATGACAGTGCGAGTAATGTTCATTTCTTGGAATTTGTGATCTAGACATTTCTGGTCAACAAATCCCTAGTCATCAAGAAAACGTGCACAAATGTTGAATTAATCTCACCATGCACACGAAATATTCGTTCTTATGTAAAGTGGAGCTGTTCGTGGAGCGATGTTGTTTGTTATTATTTCAGATCTTCTCAAATCTTTCACGCGTATCTAGAAATTATAAGGGCACTCCACAAGATGTCATGCTGCTAGACTATGTCATGCAAACAATCTTGGAAAAGTGGAATACTGCGATCTGTGACATCTAGTGATCATGTTAGCTATTACGCTATACTCACGAATCGCATGATCATTATGACTGAATCACGTGCGATAGGCGAATGGAAACTCGGCTGGTTTACCTTGGCCTACACGCTGTGAAATCTTGGTCAGATCATATCGTTTAAATTTTTTCTCTGGTACTGAGCAGGAAGTGAATTATCTTGACTGGCATTTCTCACCTTTTTATAATTTTTTTTATATCATTTCCTATTTAGCACTTTGACAAGCGCAATCTCTAACTCAAATTATTATTACGGCTTCAATTTTTTAACAACTATGATTATATAAAATATGAAAAAAATGTACTATCATATGAAGGAAGAACTGAAGCATTTTAGGTTTCGAGTTGCTTCAATTTTCCATAGGTGGAAAGATATTGACGCAAATTCGAAATCTAGTTCCGATGTAGCATTCAGGATTTCCTTCCCTGAATTTGCGATTGTTTAATAACATGAAAAGCTCCTTCAGGTTTGTTTCTTTCAGTTCTTTTGTAACCAACATTCAGGTACTCGTCTGTCTTCGAAGAACGAAAGTACACGGTATTTACATTGCAAGATGAGAAAGAGAAGGGATGGTTTGGCATCCATCCAAGAGAGTACCAGTGCTCCGGGTCGCTTCGTGCCCCAGAGACCAGGTCAAGCGCAAGCCAGTACGATGTAATTGAGCACTTGGCTCGTAAGCTGTCCTCACCTGTCTCTCTATGGTGCTCTAACAGATCACTATCAGAAGTAGAAAACCTGACGCTCTGGCGTTTGGGAATAGTTTATCCATGGTTGACTGATTTAAAACTTTCTTCTTACAACAATGACATCAATTTGTTCATAAAATTAAAAAAAAAAAATAAAAAATATATATATATATATATATACACACACCGACTGTTTGCAATCTTCGCATGTGCCCCTGGATAGGGTCTCATTTTCACGACTGCATTGACTTTTATGGCGTTGCATTTCCAGCTATTTTCAATAGAGTTACTAGAATGGGGTTACACATTTTTTGAGATTTTAGGCGTAAAAAAATTATGGCAAGTAAGGATCCATAACAGGAAGATTCATGGTAAAAAAGTTGTTACCGTATTTAAATGAAGAAATGTAAAATGGTTTCCGTGTTTACATAGCCTGATGTAAACACTTGGGAAGTTGGGAGAACACTCGATAAGCTGGAAACCACGACGCGAAGCGGAGTGGTTTCCTACGCTTATCTCGGAAGAAACTGGTCGTTAAAATAACTAATGAAAGAGCCTCTTCTTGCAACGAAGGAAAGCGACGTGCTTGTTGTCGTTGTTCATTTGGCTTTTCGGCCGTTTCTTGAATACTGGGAAAATTAAACTCCAAGGAAAATCTTCTTCCATTACTGTACTCAAAACAAACTTAAAGAAACTGAGTTACTGCTAAGTAAATAGCAGGGAGAACTTCGCGAGAAGATTCAGTATGAAAACCGTGTTTACATACGCTCGTGTAAAATGGTTTTATGGCCAATCAGAGCGCGCGCACTATTTGAATTATTTTATAATAATAATAATATTTAATAAACGGCTCCCATTCCATTCCGATCTTGCTTAAAAGCAGACAAAGATGGGGTCTATAATTGGCCACAAAATAGGTTAAAGTGCGGCAGAGGTTCTGAGAAGTCAGCTGCACATACCCAGCAAAAAATGACCCATGTACCCCCCCCCCCCGGAGGGTTTTCATCACATACTTAAGTACTACAATTTCTATACTTGCAATGGTTCTACTTTCTACCTTTTTTTAACACTTAAGTTTACTGATAGCAACTTTACAAGTATATATCTCTTTAATACTTTATCCACGAGTTAGCTACAGGTGCCCTTTGATTTGATATTTTTTCCAATAGTAAGCTTTTTTACAATGTTACATAACTTCACTTTGATAAATTTGTAATAATTTTTTTTCTCCTTGACTATGAGATTCATTTCTATAAAATAGTAATTGACATTTCACAAATGACAGTACTTAAACGTAATATATTTGCCTAAAACGATAATTGCTTTTGCTACACGAACACGAATAATTCAATTCTGTAAGGTAACAGTTAGACATGCAACGACTTGACAGATGTAACAAAATCAGCTGATTAACTCTAAGAGGTTTTGGTAAGTATCATGTAACAGTCCATGAATTATACATTTAATCCTGTCTATGCTCTCCAATCCTTTCTGATGACTGATTTCTGTGATTGACTCAAATTATGTGGCAACAAAAAAGTTCTTAACATTTACAGATTACAGAAAATTTGAAATGAAATATACTTTATTCCGACATTTACTCCCGAGCATCATCGTTTTACATTCTACTCATAAAAGGATCTAATATGTATAATTTGGTTTTAGGGTTTTTCTAAAAGAATTGTTGCTTTAGGAACAGAGCACAATGTTGCCTGTGTCGTTACCAATCAGAAGCAGCCTATTGAGTGGCAGGTAACCAAGACACGTGATATTGCCACGGAACACATCGCTGCTCAGCTTATAACTGATGTAAGGGTCCTGTGATAAGAACATAAAGACAAAACGATGACATAAAGACAAGCTCGGTAAAATAATCGTAACCTCATGCCCACAGGCCTTTTACGCATTGAAAAATGACCGAGAATGTCCTAGGGGCGAGATTGCAATTATCACATAAGTGACTACCAGCTAACGTTATAGTTGAGTGAAATTCTGGCTCATTGGGCTTTAACTAAGGTAAATAGGGTGTACCAAAGAACAAAGTTAGTATATCAGTAAAATATCATGTACTTAATAACCGAGTGGATGAGGGCCCGACAGCAAAATCTTAGTCTCGAGGTCATGACGTATGTTTCACATAGTAATAAGCCAAGCGTCCTTTCTGTTTTTTAGGTTGCAAAATAGCGACTTTGAATGAACGTTGACCTTGCAGCCTTAAATTCTATACTGACAGAAACTAATAAGGTATAGAATTTCATTGGTTTGGAAAAAGAGGAAGTAAGTGAAAAGAAATGAAGGCAAATGGTCAAGGCATACTGAGCCACCAATTAAGACATTCCTCTGGTGACATACAAGAGCATCAGAACCAAAGTACAATCTCTCTCAATCTTCTTCATGAAATGAAGACTACGACTGAGCTGATCTAGACCAAACTGAGAAGCGATAAAAAGATCAGGCGATAATGAAAAAGTAAAAAAGAAACGTTACCTCAGAATGATCCTCCTGTAAGCTGTGTACACTAATTCTACCGCCAACAGTGGCTGAAATCAATTGATCTCCCCACACTAGTAGAGAGGGGATAGGATCGCTAGGACCTGTCAGATAAAAAGTAATAATTACTCTCTACGAACGTTAATCAATTCCATTTTAAGCTGCATGATTTCGGAAAGACTGAGGTTGTGAATCTACCTTTCACAACAAGTGAAACGAAAAAAGAAGGAAAGCCGACAAACAAAAGAGAAAACAAGCATGAAGTTATCGACTTAAATTGAGCTGAGTAAGAAGATATCAAGTTTTCACAGGCTACCCCTTTTCATCACGTATTCTGAAAAGAAATTATCTTTTTTTGATTGAGCGATGTAAAACCAAAGGCAAAGTAATCACAACAGTGTTCATGAAAGATGTCACCACGAACGCATGAGAACTCAAAGTAAAAACAAGCAAACTGCTTGAAGCGCGGGAAAACACGAGTAACCATGACCAGGATTAGTATTAAATTAAATTTTGTTGGTTGAAACAGAGGCACGCGTTTTATAGACCAATCTTAAAGCGAAGCAAAGCAAAGCCAAAGAAATCCCAAAAAATGGCTCTACCAGGAGAGGTTCAAGCTAGGAAAATAATTTCAACTTGATAAAAACACCTGGTCTCCTACGAAAACTGTTACATGCGTGGCTGGCAGTTTTGTGTTCACCAACGGTTCTGTATGCGTTGGGCGATGAG